TAGATTTAAACGAGAATTTGACTTTTAATAGGACACAATGGAGAAAAATGATTCGTATTGATAATAAAATATGAAATTTTAAATATTATTTAGATAATTATGAGCATATTTTTTTGAATAATAATTAGGTTATGAAAAAATCATTTTAATTGAGTATATTATATATTTGGTTATTTTGTTAAAATGTATATAGTGAGGGATAGAGTGTGTAAAAATAATGAAATATTTTATTTAATTAAATTAGTTATATTTTTATAAATTATATTTTAGGAATAATTATCTATATATAAGAAAGATTATAAAGTGTCACAATCAAAATAATAAAGATTATTTCAATTTGAGAAAATAAATTTTATAAAAGATATTTTACTTATACAAATAATAGATTAAAATGACTAGAGATAATTTGCATATTTAATAGAAATTAAATTAATTATGATATATAAATCATAAAAGTAAAATAAATATATAGGTGGAGGATAAGTGAAAGAGTGGAAGTTATTTAAAAGATTATTAGGTTATGAATATTATTTTAAATTTTAGTAATATATTGAGAGATAAGTATATATGTAAATGTAAAGACTAAAGACTATCTACGTACATTCAATAGCTAATTCTAAATAATGAGAACAATTCTGATTAATAATATTTGAGATGTTTATTGCACTAATTAATTATAATTAAACAAGTTAGAGAAATTTATCAATTAAATCTTAAAGATGAGAGTCTTTCTAGGTATTAAATCTACCATCATCAGAGTAAGGAAGTAAGAAAAAACTTTTAAAGCATCTGCATTAAGGTGAATACTCAAGTCTTTTTAATTACAATAATGATTTTGTACTCTTACATTATATGTCAAAAGATAGTAATACCTCTTTATTAAGTCTTTATTGCAAGCTATATAATGATGTCTCTTTCTCATATCAAATGATTGGTCATATTGAGTCAAATGAAAATTAAAATATTGTTTTTCATTTTATTATATAAAATTAATGAACACTATTTGCACGAAATGACTAGATAGAGATGCTTGCATGTGTATATTGACTAATGGATCACACCTCCTTATGGTATTGATTGGGGATGCAATATACCCGTGCATGTAAATGAAAAATGTTATGAAAAAGGAAAATGAATGCCTTCATTAGTACTATTTTAGATGATGACTCCTGTGACGATTGTATTATTTACGAAAAATGATAAAGATAAAGATAAAAAATATGATAATGGTATATGTATAATGTTGATGGCCATGTTTGAAATGAATTTAAAAGAAATTATTTTATGTTTGAAAATGAGCATGCATATTGTTTCAATAGTCTTGTATTACTGAAATTTAAAGGCATGATTTACTCACTGAGTTCTACATAACTCACTGTTGTTTTCAATAACATTTTCAAGTATAATTCGATTAATTAAAATGAGCAGAAGAGATAATAATATGTATTATAGGCGTGACGCTCTGAGAGAAAGGTATTTATATATATTTTGAGGTTTTAGTGGCTCTTTCTACTTATTAGAAATAGTTAGTTAGTAATTGAAAATTTAAATTACTGTCCAATTGTCTGTTCACGACTCGTTAATTTGAGCCTCCGGTCCGAGTCGTGACACTGAGAGAGACGATGGACCTGACTAAGAGGGTGGAGGAAAAATGAAAGAGGGAAAAGGCCATCAAAAGCAACATCATGGGAGGGGCCTATCAAAATACCCCGACAACGCTAGCGCCCTGAACCCAAACAATATCCTTCCAGAGAGAAGCTCATAAGGAGAAGAGTGGTGGAGTTCGCCCGGGGGATAACTTCAAGCGATTCATAGAGGTGGTGGAGGTGCAGGAGAAGCGAGCAAAGGGGTTATGTTTTCGATGTAATGGGAAGTACACATCGTGGCATAGATGTAAGGACCTAACTCTTCAAGTTCTCACCGTCTTTGATGACGAGGAAGTTGAAGAAGGAGGTGCGAGTGAGGCATCAATGGAGGAAGAAAAGCTGCATTTAGACATGGATGAGGTTTCCAAGAAATCAGTGGTGAGATTCACTCTGAATCACACTATAAAGGTGACAAGAGAAATAGAAGACAATGAGGTAGTGGTGCTGATAGATAGTCGAGACACCCACAACTTCATCTCCAACCAAGTTGTAGACCAATTAGGGCTGAAACTGGTGGACACAAGATGTTATAGGGTGATGATGGGGGTAGGGAAGATGGAGACAGTTAGAGGGGTGTGTAAGCGAGTGGCCTTTCTTATTTTGATGTCATCTTGGGGATGAGATGGCTACAAACCTTGGGGATACCAAGCTAAATTGGGAGATGTTGACCATAGAGCTAATGGTGGAAGGGAGGAAGGTGGTGATTAAAGGAGATGTCGGACTCTCTAAAGTCATAGTGTCACTAAAAATCATGGTAAGAGCCATCCGGGAGGAGGGAAGAGAATTTCTGGTGGAGTTACAGAGCTTAAAGGGGTCCAGAGGGGAGGAAGGAGGGGACATCCCTTTTTCAGTACAGTCAGTTATACAGAAGTTTTGTGAGGTTTTTCAATCACCTCGTGGATTATCATCACAGAGGGGACAGGAGCATGTCATCATACTAAGGGAGGGGTATCACCGATTAGTGTCAGACCTTATCGCTACCCCCAGATTCAGAAGGATGAGATTGAAAATATGATCTGAAAAATGTTAGAGGCCGGGATCATCAAGCCGAGCATGAGCCCTTTTTATAGCCCTGTTCTTTTTATTAAAAAGAAGGAGAGTAGACGATTTTGTGTGGACTATCGGGCATTGAATAAGGAGTCTGTACCAAGTAAGTTTTCTATTCCAGTGATAGATGAGCTTTAAGGAGCAGCAATATTCAGGAAGATGAACCTGAAGTCCATATACCATCAGATTCAGATGAGAGAGAAAGATGTTTCGAAGATAGCTTTTAGGACACACAAGGGACACTATTAGTTATTAGTGATACCGTTTGGTCTCAGCAACTCCCCTGCTACCTTCCAATCCCTCATGAATAAGGTATTCCGACCTAAACTTAGGAAGTTTGTCCTGATTTTCTTTGATGACATCTTGGAGTATAGCAAAAAACAGTGAGGAGCATTTGGAGCATATAAGGGCAGTCTTAGAGGTGTTATAGGAGCATCAGCTGAGGGCCAATTTGAAGAAGTTTTGCTTTGCACAGGCAAGTGTAGAGTACTTGGGGAACATGGTATCCCAGAAAGGGGTGGCCGCAGATGAGGCCAAGATCGAGGAAATGTTGAAGTGGCATCTACCTAGGAACCTGAGGGAGCTAAAGGGATTCCTAGAATTGACCGGGTACTATAGGAGGTTTGTGAAGGGATATATCACCATCGTTTAGCCTTTGACAAAGAAGCTAAAGAAAGATAGCTTCTTATAAGGAGAGACAATTACTCAGGCCTTTGAGAGATTAAAGACAACCATGAATACAGTTCTGGTCCTAGCATTACTTGATTTTAGCCAGATGTTCGTGGCGAAGACTAATGCCTCAGGGTATGGGTTGGGGCAGTGCTCATGCAAAATCAAAGACCCATAGCCTACTTTAGCTAGATATTGACAGCCAGAGCTAGGTTGAAGTCAATTTATGTGGGAATTGATGGACATTGATTGGCTATTCAAAAGTGGCGCTTGTACTTGATGGGTCGACATTTCATCGTTAGGATCGACCAAAGGAGTTTGAAGAACTTACTAGAGCAGAGGATGGTGACCGAGGAGTATCAGATGCGGCAATCAAAGTTGTTGGGATATGATTTTGAGATACATCATAGACTGAGGCCAAAAAACAAGGCAGCTGATGCCTTGTCTAGATGTGTGGGGAACTCCAGCAGTAGCCATTTCGATTCCGCTTATGTTGAATTGGGGGGCCATTAAGGAAGAGAGTGTGCAAGACCAGGAGCTGAGAAAGATCAAAGAGGATTTGTTGAAAGATGGGAGTAGCCATCCGAGCAATTCATTAGATGGGAGAGACTTCTATATAAGGAGAGGTTTGTGATGCCACAAACCTCAATTCATATCCTGCACTTGTTGCAGAAGTTCCACGGGAACGTTGTTAGGGACCATTTGGGTGTACAGAAAACTGGTTGTTGAATTATACTGAAAGGGGATGCACAAAGATGTCGAGGAGATGGTGGCCATGTGAGAGGTGTGTCAGCGAAACAAGTATATGGCAATGGCTGCTGGAGGGCTATTATAGCCATTGGCACTCCCAGGCAAAGTATGGGAAGAGGTTTCCATGGATTTTATAGACAGGCTACCGTGATCTGAATGGTTCACAGTTATTCTGGTGGTAGTAGACAGGCTAAGCAAATATGCTCATTTCATCCCTCTATGACATCCTTACACGATAGTAACAATGGAATCAAGTTTTATTATAGAGGTGGTCAGATTACCAGGCGGACATGGAGCATCCCCCTCCCCCCTCCCCCTTGGAGCCCATGCTTTGATGGCAAATTAAAAAAGGAGCGGACGAATTTAGAGAGAAATTAATCAAGGAATGGTTGTTTAGTAATTATGCTTATATTTTGTATTTTTTTCTTTTTTTTTATGCTTTTATTTTGTATTCTCTAATAGGAGGGAAGGGATTAGGGTTAGGGTTAGGTGATTGTTTGCTAATTTTCTGGTTTTTCTCTTAAGTGTTTGGGGTCTAGTCGCTAGCTAGAGATTTGGAGAGCCGAATCTTCCTCTCGAATCGAATATCCATTGTATCTTGTTGTTTTTCTTCTATTTTGCTATCAATTATCAAGTTCCCTAGTGTCTTACCTAGAGATTTCTCTCAAAATCTGCTTGATCCTTGCTGAAATTTGCAAACTCAGCCAAGGATTTCTTAATTTCTGCACTGATATCCTACCTATCATTAACATGTTTGGCATGGCAATTGAACCTGAACTGCAACATGCACAAAAACATATTGGCCTTTGTCAAGCACAAAAAATTACAACTATGTATGCGGGCAACTTCAAACTAGCAAATTGCTGATAAAGATAAGCAGAAAGTTACCTTGGGTTGAGAGAAGGCCAAGTTCTTTATTTTTGAGAAATGCTTAGATGAACCGCCTTCTACGACATAAGAAGCCAAAGTGAAAGGAGCCCCAACAAAGCCTAATACAGCAGCTTCGCTTTTTACCTGAATCAAGCAATACATTGGTTCCTAACAGAAGACATTAAGATATGCCAAACTGCTGCAGCAAGATAAAACAAACATGAAGGAAATAACATTAGAGATTAATGATTAACCAAGAAGAATATGCAGATGTTATGAGGACTCATACTTCTTTCAGGCAGCTAGCTGAAGTATCATTCAAAAGACTAGAAGATAAATGCATCTTTAAATGTCTAAGTCAGCCTATCAATAAGTTTTTGCTGTTAAAGATAGAAATATCAATCCCAAATTTACTTCTGCCTATCTCACTTTTAAACGAAAAAGCAAATCACCATGTCTGCATGCACGCATATCAATACATATCACCATGGGTGCGCACAACCCTGTGTGTGCTTATGCTCAAAACTGTGAGATAACTAAGCAAAGTAGAAGACACAGAAAACTATGAAGTGTATCAAAGTGACTTCATCATTTTTAACGAGGACTTAACAGCATATTTAGAGTATGAGAGTACTTCTATTCAACATTTTCAACTTTTAGTACTTATAAAACTTCAACATGTTGGTGACATTATGCATGCAAGGTAGACAGACGAGTATTAAATAAAACACAAAACAAAAGCACATGGCATAAAAGTTTTCCATTCGGGCAACAAAGAAGAAATATGAAATGGAAAATGATTCTTTCATCAAATACATTCACATTTGAAATGGTGCCCTGTCAACAGGTTATGTATTATTTATGTAGCATTTTTTAAGAGAATTGATTATGTTTGATTCTTATTGTACATGCAAATCTTAAATCTTCCACAAAATTAAAAAATAAAGAACGTCATCCACATAAAAGGCATTTCAAACAAAACTAAGATCATACACCCTTAAAAAAACTATTCCATCCAATTATAAGAAACTTCACCCAAACCCTATTTTTAGATAATTATTTATTTGCTAAATACCTAATATATGGGTGAAAACTTTTTTAGTATACTGAAGATGAAGAACCGCATGAAGGATGAACAGAGCTCGGTATTGATTTGTTCAATTTAAAATATACCTTTTCCCCCATAAGCAGCCCAAATGGTACCAATTTAAATGTGCATCTCATTAATGTAGTTACTAGTAGAGTATTTGGGAGGTGATAGATAAATGCTTATCTATATAAGGAGATTATGGTAGAATATATCCTCTTAATTAAGAATATGATTTCAGTTATTTATTTCCATATTGTATTCTCCTTTATGCAGAGTTATAGGCCTTATTAAAAATCAATGAAACACAATAATTTTATTTTATTTTTCTTCTCAACACCGCTTGAGATGGTCTCATAGCACATTTAAAAGTTGGCAATCCCCTTCGCTATCTCATCCATTTTTGTAGCCCTACTTGAGTATCACACAGTCGCACCCACCCCTACCCCATATCCCAATCACTGCTCAGTCTTTAGCATTCAAAAGTTTCACTCTAGTGCAAGGGTGTCAATATTTGACATAACCCGAAACCCAACCCGAAAATTTTCGGGTTCGGGTCAACCCGTTTGACATACGGGTCGGGTTCAGGTTCAATAAGTCAACCCATTCCAAAAAATGGGTCGAGTTGACCCGGAAACCCGAAACCGACCCGATTTGAGTTTGCAAGACTGCTAGGTTGTTTGACAAGCATAGCCATAAGGTCAATTAGCCCACTCTCTCTGTTTCTCGTATTGCTTCATTCAAACCAACCCAAAAAAGCCCTGCTTCCTCTCTTCCTCTCGTTTAGCCAAGACGAACTAGTCCCAACGTCCTCTCTCTAGTCTAAGAATAGATCTCCTCCTGTCGCTTTTGCTGATCAATCTCTTTCACAATCAGCATGTATACTTCCTCTCTTTTCTTCCTCCCTCTCCTTCTTTTCCATCTTCTCCATCTTCTCCACTTTATTCTTCCTTCTTCATCTTCTTTAATTTCTACTCCTCCCCCTTCTTATCTTCTTCTTTTTTATTTTCTTTTCTTCTCTCCTTTAGAGGTCTAGTATAATAGAGAGAGAGAAAGGGGAGTTGCAGTGAGCAAAACTCCCAAACAGTGCTCGCAAACTTTGGTGTTCTCCCTCCAGTGAGCAAAGTAACTCTCGCACTTCGGTTGTCGGGATTGAGGACGAAACCCTCCCGTCGTCTTCTTAACTTCTTATCCAACAAAAGAACAATGGGTTGTGTCGCTGTGCATTGTGGTGATTTTCGATCCGACAGGAAGAGCAACTAACACAAGTATTCACCAATACACCAGGAAGAGTGACTCCGGGAAAGTCGGATTGTCGGGTCGGGTCGGGTCAACCCGGTAACCCGACAGGTCAGGTATGGCCGTCCGGGTCAGAAGTTCGACCCGTTCATGAAACCAGGTTGGGTTAGGGTCAACCCGTTTAAAATCGGGTAAATTCGGATTCGACCCAAACCTGACTCACGGACCCGTTTTGACACCCCTACTCTGGTGCATCTTCGACAACCCCCACCCAACCACACTTTGCCCCGCACATGCCACATTTCTCTTTAAGCTCACTCCAGCACATAGTTGCATTATCACACTTTTGCACTTGAAACCCTACTGATCCTATGAAGCCACTTGCTTGTCTTTATCACTACCGTCGATTGTTCGTCGCTATGTCACGCTTACCCCATCAACATCGATTGTCCCTACCTCGCACTTGTTCTAGCAATAGTGCAACACCATGCTCATTGCATGTTGTAGATAACTACCACAGTAGCAAATCTAGACTTTGTCTACACTATCTTGCAAGCTAGCTTTGCTCTACACTCACTTGCTATTTTGGCCCTCACTACTTAGTTTTCAATGTTTCACTTTTGATGAGTTGACATCTTCTTCATTTTTCATGGTATTATAGCCTCACCATTAGTACCTCTAATAAACTTAACAATACTAATTATCTCTTATGGTCACTAGCCTTTTGATTTCTTCAAAGCAACACAACATATCACCTTCATCAAGCGTACTTCTACTGGATCTAATACTCATTATATTGCTGACATTTTATTCATGGAAAATAGCCATCACAATATCTCTATCAAAAGTGCTTCATCACGAAAGATTTAGGACGACCTAAATACTTCTTTAGGATTGAGTTCATCTAAAAATATGAAATTTTCTTTCTCAAATAAAAATATGTCATTAACCTCATTGAAGAGGCCTACTTAATCATAAACCTATTAACACACCAACGGATACTCAAACTACAATTGATGATTTTAATGCATTTCTTGATGATCTATCTTCATATCACAAATTAGTGGGCAAACTCATTTATCTAACTATTATGAGACCGGAAATTTCTTTTGTTGTTGAAGTGTAAGTTAGTACATGCAAAATCCAAAGAAGCATTAGTAAGCTACTCTTGGCATCCTTATATATATAAAGGCCTACTAAAAATGGATTGCTTTAGAAAGAAATCGAAGAATTTGAACATTGAAACATTCTCCAATGATGATTATCCTAGCTTTATTAAAGACAAGAGTAAGCCACTGAATATTGCATCTTGGTTTGAGAAATTTGGTCACTTGGTAGAGCAAGAAAAAAGACATTTGTAGCAAGATCAAGTGCTAAAGCAGAATAAATATGGCACATTCTGCACATGAATTGATGTAGAAAAAAAACTCTTAAATGAGAATTTTATTTCGCTATCATTTAGCCTATGACTTTATATTGCAAAAATTGTGCCACTATCCAAATTGCTAGCAATCATATTTTTTATGAATACACAAAACAACTAATTATAAGCGCTCTTACAAGTAAATACGACATATAATGATATTGTTTTTCATCCCAATACCTCCCAACAAACCTAATTCAGGTGTATGGCATACTTGTATGAAATATTACCTCCTCCCTTAATATTGACAATGCCTCGCCTACATAGGGAACTGATTCTTCTGGAACAAACTCCGTTACTCCAGCAACATCATTAGCTGTTCTTAGTGGATCATGTATAACTGGACCTTTTCCTTTGAGAATGTCAAATGGAATGTTCATACCTGGCAAGGGGGTTAATATGTCTGAGAACAATATGACCTGCAATACCAGGATAGAACAGGGTTTCAGAAACAGTACAAGAATAAATATCCACCAAAGTAATAGGTTACTTGTTCCCCATAAAATGAGCAACTCTTATTTCTGTCAGCCTTAATATATTGTAATATTGCTTCAAGGAGCTCTACTAAACCTATCAGACCTGAAAAACTGTGCTCTGGAGAATTTGTGCATACCCCTATTAAAACAATTTCTTTAAATGACAGCTAGAATGCCTTTGTTTATGGATGCAGTCATTCTGGCCATTTTCTTCAATGAAGAAAAAGAATAAATCAACAATTAGGCTTGAGAGACATGGAATTAAAGCCTTGATTGATCACCTTCACAAAAGTTGTTCCTTGTTATATTGTTGTTCCTTAAAATAGTTATTTTACATCACTCTATCCTATAAGTTCATTGTCAAAGTAGCTATCCAAGCATCAATTGTCAAAGAGTGTATGACAGCCGCACAAGCAAACTCATAATTCCTTGCCTTTTTTCGCCCAATCTTATCTTCAAGCACGCAACTTAGAGTAGGCATGATAGGTTTTGCGTCATCTTCTGCTATAAAAACAATTCATGTGTAAGCATGTCGAGTTGATAAGCCATGCAATATTTCGTTAAATGCAGCTGGATACTCAGTATTATGGTATACAGTCAAAACATTATATACAATTTTTTAAATGATAGAAGTAATTCAGAATCCCAGCTGAACAACAATGCTATAAGAAATCAACTACTGTTTTTCTCCATTAGGAACTATCCCCGGCTCGCTTTTAACTATAAGTGCATATATTTACAACGGACAACATAAAAGTATATCCCCCGAAACAGTTATAATAGACAGCCATGTCACTACTTTAAAAAAGCATGGTAATCTGATACATCTTGGAAGTAAAAACAGCGAGTAGAGGAGAACAAAAAATGGAGGAATATAAAAATAAGTGCTGATTTTTTATTTCTCCTTTAATAATAATACAAGATACAATTGATCTACTATTCGAAAGGTAGATCAGCTCTCCCGGAAATCCTAGCCGTCGCTAGGAACCTTCGAAAAACCCTAGAAATAAAATTCAGCAAACAAAATATGATAACCCTAGACAAAACTCCCCTTTAAATAGCTCTCACACACAAGAAACACCATTGGAACCTTCCTAAATAGCATAAACACAACTAGAAACTTTTCAAAATAATTAAAACTTTCCTAAACAGCATAAACATAATTAACAAATATTCCTAAAAAATTAAAATCTTCCTAAACAGCATAAACGCGATTAGGAAACCTTCCTAAATAGCTCCCCTTTGATTCCTCCTCCTCATATAATGAATAATAGCTCCCTTGGGCCCCACAAGTGCCCCATCTTGGCGTATCATAATCCTCCAAGGTAATAAATATTATTATTACCTTAGATACCTATAACTAATCTGTTGATATTTTGTAAACTTCACAAAACACAATTCTTAAAATAAAATTACAAATATTAACTATTTAATTGAACAATCATTCACAAATCATGTCCATAATTCTACTTCTTATACCTCAGAATTGCATAATGAATCTTAAACAAAGTGACTCAATGAAACCCCCCAGAATGGTCCCTACCATAACAAGTACTTAGAAATAGGAAAAGGATTAGCAATTCATTTTTCATAACAACGAAAGTCATATTAAAATCAAAGATGTAAGTTCAGCATATTACATCACTGTTAAAATCAAAACTTTGATTCATCTCATAGAGAAATGTCTTAAGAGTACTTTGAGGTAAGAGTACAAGGGTAATTTTAAGGTAAATTTTATGAAAATGAATTAGCCCGACTAAATTGTATAAATTTGAGCGTTGGGCAATCCATGAGTCATTGATAGACATGTTCATGACACAAAAAATATTAAAATGCAATAGTGGCAAAGGTAAGTAGAGAAATAATGACATTTGAATGATGATGAGGTAACATCTATTAAATACAAATAGTAAAAAATAGAACTATGTGGTTTAGGCATGACTAATGAAGAGTAAATAATGCAGCATAAAATTTACAACTGCTCAACCAACAGATGCTTCCTTTTGGATAATTATTCATTGTTTTCTTTCTTTCCACCACCATTCAATATTTCTTTTCTTGAAAATAAACGGGCCCACTCACATAACTACCACGTTATGCTTGACTGCCTATGGCCGGCATCTCTTCAAAATTCTCATCAGAATTAAGAAATTACTTAAATTAATTTCCTGTATTATCTAGTATCTATTGTTAAGCAAATTATTTACTTAAAAGCAAATTTAATTCTTTTACTAATGGTATTTACTGTTACAAGTAACTTAACAGAAATTTTTCTTTCTTTATTTTTTTCATTAAGCTTTAGAATAGACTTTACAATATATTTACTTAATTCAAATTTTCACATACCTGAAATTTTTTGGGTCTTACGGTTTTCCTTTTTCAGTCACGGGTAAAAGAGTTATATAGGATTGTGTCTTTGCCATAGGAAAAGAGTCAGGAGTTATACACCTTGAACTTGGCAAAAAAAAAGGAGGTAAGGTGGCTTACTGCCAAAACTACTGCAAAGCAAAGGGTTGTAAATGGTTTCAGCTTGACTCAAATTTCAAAGCTTGCATGGTAGAGATATCATAACTAGAAGCTTGGGGAATAGATATAAGCTTGAAGAGCCAAATCACAAATTCATAACCAAATAGCTATGCACTTCACATTGTCTGCAACCTCTATGCAATCTCCCTCTATTCTAAGGGTAAAATTTAACATTTCTATTGAATTAGTTTCTACATATATTTCACAATCTAGGAATATTAGTGCCAGTTTACAGTTTCAATCTGTGAAATACAGCAAATTCATCCTCTAGGTTGTGGCAAGTTCAAATGATGTTCTCCCCAAAAAGAACTCATTTACATCTCTCCTTGTAGAAGTGAGTGTATTAAAGATTCATGGATAACAGGTCACTGGCCTTGAAGATCTAGGGCAATTTGCTCGCTTATACAAGACAGATCTTGACTGTCGAAAGTTAGATACACCTTGCCTAGTAATAGGGAGCACCATTTTGTCATCCATAGGAAGGAAGAAAGGGCTCAGCAGGCAGGTCTTTCCCATCTTTACCAAATGCAAACAACCCCCAGAGTAGGGAGTCTGCATGACAAGAGCAAGCAGCAAACAAGGTGCATGGGACCAACACTTCTTTTTCTCGCCACACCAGCCACTTCATTCAATCAATCATATGTTTCAGACATTAGGTGATGTGGGAAGAAACATGGAGAAGCAAGATGAAGAAGAGCTAAACAGCTCTTGGAGACCAAAAACAGAAAACTGTTTCAAATTCCAAAAATACTAATTCATATCATCTTCTTCATTACAATAACATGCTTATATAAAGGCAATTGAACCTTCTAGAAGGCTCTAGAAAGTATGAACTAAAGCTAACTAAGATATACTATTCCTAAAGAAAACTATTAGCTAGGATGTTCCACATCATACTCCCCTAGCGTCCAAAAAGCTCGACTCCGTCGAGGCGTGTCATTGATGGGGAGGTAAGAGTAGAAAACATAAGCAATCCTCACATGCTCTAATATCCTTGCTTTGATTACAAAGGTTCCCAAGGAATCGACTCCATAATCTGAACTAAAGGAGGTACGCCAATAGCAAAAGCGATTCTCAATGAATCAACTAAATCTCTTTCCCAAAGATCCAAACCTACAGACCTTGTAGGCATCCGATCCTGCGTTCCTTAACCCTTCTATAACTTTGTTTCTTAAAACAAAGTCAACTGAGCTCGTGTCTTTAAGTAACATCTTAGCAGAACTTAAACCTCAAAGCATCAGATACAAATGAAATCACAAGTGAGAACATTAAACTGATTGTGATCTGAAGTTTTATAATGTTATTACTTTCATCAAGTTGAGCATCACCTTCTCTTAGCACACCAAATATATCTTTGATCTCTTTTGGATTCATTCTCCAGCCAAGTGCAGATAGAACAAGACAGTGACTAAGAAGCCGTCTTTCTTGAGCAACAGCTGCTTTGCGACCAACAACATAACCTCTGTTAAGTCCATGATATAGCGTCCAAATCCACCTTCTCCAAGCTTACTTTCTTCAGAGAAATTATTTGTTGCTTTCTTAATTGTATCCAGATTTAATAACAAAGACTCATTAGATCTCATGTTCTCCTTCAGAACAAGGTGGCCTCTATTGTCACCCTCAACAGCAGCTGATGAATTAGTTGACCCTGCTCCAAATGATGTAATAACTCCAAATGCTCCAACCAAAAGTATCATTTCTGAAATCGTGTTCATTTTCCCTTCTCTGTTGGCTATGGTTGCGGAATCGAGATTGCTGGATTTGAAGCTATCATGAGTGATAATGGAGATCGCAGCCATTCATAATATAAGGATGCCAGAAGAATAGATAACCTCACTTCAGAGCTTATAGATGTAACAAATCCCCAAGATTTCTCATATGGGAAGCTCTTCTCAACCCTTTGTAGACACTGAAGATAGTCACTGATGGGCGGAGATAATTGAGTGAATCGGCATCGGAAGGGGCTGTTTGCAAGGCTTTGTGCTGACTGATCTGATCGGACTGGTTGGGGATGGATTGCATGTAGACTGAAGTGAGTGCGTGTGGGAAGGAAGACGGGGCGGAGCGGAGCTGGGCTTGGAATTGCGGGATGCGAAGGCAAGGGCGGGAGCAAATCTGAGTCGCGGGAAATGTCCGTTTTCCGTCAGTACAAATCGAATCACGACTGCTGGTTGGTGGAGGTCGAATCGCCGATATGATTGCCGGCTGATGGAGATTGGTGCATGTAGATGGAACATGCTCGGGTGTTGTTCGGGTCGCGTGCGAGAGCAGGGACCGAAGGTCGCTTGCTGGAGCGGAGGGAAGCTGCTCGCAGTTCGGGCAGTGGGATTTGGTCGCACATGGGAATGAAGCGAGGCTGGTCGTGCGCGGAAGCGAAGGTGGAGCCTAATTTGTGCGAGACTGGAGTGGATGTCTGCTGTCGTGAGTGCCTTGGATGCCGTCGCGGCTGTTCGCGCGGACTGGACAAGCAATGACACGAGCTCAGATTGACGATACAAGTCTATCGTGAGGGGTTATTCGCGGATAGATGTGTAGGTTCGCCAGTAAGGTTGCCGGCTGGTGGAGGCTTCGAACGTCATCGACAGCCTAGCTTCATACATGATCTTCTCAAAGCATCCAAAACCCTGATCGACGTCAAGGGTTGATGCAGCAGTAGCCCAGGACCCTGATCGACGTCAAGGGTCATACCACGCTCTAATACCATCTGATGTGGGAAGAAACATGGAGAGGCAAGATGAAGAAGAGCTAAACAGCTCTTGGAGACCAAAAACAGTGAAAACTGTTTCAAATTCCAAAAATACTAATTCATATCTTCTTCATTACAATAACATGCTTATATAAAGGCAATTGAACTCTCTAGAAGGCTCTAGAAAGCATGAACTAAAGCTAACTAAGATATACTATTCCTAAGGAAAACTATTAGCTAGGATGTTCCACATCATTAGGGATAGAGAAGTCTATGAACTATATTTATCAAATCCTCAAGCTAGTTAAGTGTTCATAAGACACGTGGTGTGGGTTTGGTGGTTGGAAAAAAACAATACCATGTCTCTTGCACCGTGAAGAATTTCTGACTGAACTTGAAAACGCTTAAACTGCAAAACGTCATCAAAAGTTTACATGAGAATCAGTTTTTTCGTCAGGCCTGGTCATGGGGCATCCATACTCTTAAAAATAATTTCATATGTAAATGAATCAATAGCAAGAAAGAACCTTATCCCCAATATGATAGAATAATAGCCAGTTAAACAATTGAAGCAGTTAAACTTCAGAAGAAAGCCAGATGAGTTTGCATGCTGAAGGATTCTCAACATGTCAAGCTGCATAAAATAATGAAATTCAAACAATTTTGTGTTGAGCAATTATCCACGTAGTTGTAAAAAGGCAGAAATTCCAGTTATCAACATAGAAGACAAAAAAATTTTAGGAGGGAAAAAATAAATCTGCAAGAAATATTATGTCAAAAAAAATCATACCCCATCGGGCTTGAAAACTTTCCATGGCTGTAGAGAAATTTCAACAACAAGATCTACATTTTCTGATCTTTCACGAAATGAAGGGTACCTTTCACATATCATTTGGTAGCTCTGCCAAAGCATTAAAAAGGAAAGTATTCATTAGTTTTGAATGATAACATTCCTAAAGAGTGCCTAAGAAAGAGAGAAAGAAATTGCTTCTCGTGTATTGTATAAATTTCAAATTTAAGGGAATAAATTAAAATAAACCACATGTAGGATCTTATCATTCCAGACGTCAATTGGGTCAGGCTAGCCCATAAATCCAAGAAACCAACCCTCTAAAGCTCCAATATGCAAGCTATAATGGGAATAGGCTCAAGTGTGCTAACCTATGTTGAACGGATACGCCTCTTTATGAGGCATGTTGTATCGGACACGTGTCGGATACGGATATGCCTTTGATACGGCACGGATACATGTCGGATACGGTTTTGCCGTGTCCAATTAAAATATTATTTAAATTTGATCGGACACGCGTATCCTATTAAAAAAATAGATCAACAATTTGCCCTATTCATTTCAGCTATCCGCTCGATATCCCTATTCATTTATGCGGTTTAAACATTTCGGCGAGCTGGGTTTTTCATTTCCGCATAGGTGTTCGTCTTCTTCGTTATAGTCGAAGGAGCGGCTTGACGACGCGAGCATAAAAGCGGACAAGATCATCCTTCATCGACAAAGAGGCTTGACGACGCGTGCATTAAGAATCCTTCGTCAACAGAGCGACTCGACAACATGAACTGTGAAGGTGACATGAGCATTGAAGGTTCGTTTTCTTCGTTCTTTGTTTTCTTAATCGTAGGCTCGGTACCACTCGGTACTTGGTACCGCTCGATACTCGGAATCGCTCGGTACTCGGTATCGCTCGGTACCGCTCACTACTCAGTAACGCTCGGTACTGCTCGGTACTCGGTACTGCTCGGTACTCGGTACCGCTCGGTACTGCTCGGTACTCGGAACCGCTCGGTACTCGGTATCGCTCGGTACCGGAACTCGGTATCGCTCGGTACTTCTTAGTACAGAGGGGTACCGAATGGTACCAAGCAGTACCGAGAAGGTAGAGAAAACTTTAAAGCAACTTTTATAATAAATTTTCTTTTACTTTATGAGATGTTGAGAGTAGCTGATACGGATAAGCCTTATTTAGATCTCATTTATGAGATGTGGGATTCAATGCTTGTCAAAGTAAAATAAATTATATATAGATATGAGAGGAAGGCACTTCATGAAGACTCAAGCTTCTAGGATGTTATTTATGCTATTCTAGAAGATAGGTGAAGCAAAAGTAATACATATTTACATTGCTTGGCTCACTCACTAAATCCCAGGTAAATTTCAACATTTTTCATTATTAATTCACAATTTATTGTTTAATAATTTCAATATTTTTTCATTATTTCATTTTAATATTTTTTGAAGATATTCAACTAAAAAATGGCTACAAAAAGATCCTCAAAGAGTTTCTCCACATAAAGATTTAGAAATTTCAAATATGATGAAGACATGTTTGAAGCGTTATTTTCCAAATGATGAGGAGACAAGTGTCAATATTGAGCTTGCTAATTTTTTTGGTTATTTAGAGGACTTTGGTGACCAATAGTCATTGTTTGATAGGTGGAGAATTGATCCGAAAATGTGGTGGATTATACATGGAGCTTTAGCACCTCTACTTCAAACAATCGCCATAAAATTGCTTGCCTAAATTTCATCCTCATCTTGTTGTGAAAGAAATTGGATCACATACTCGTTGATCCAATTAATGAAGAGAAATAAAATTACTCCACAACGGGCTGAAGATTTAGTTTATGTGCATACAAACCTTCGAGTTCTCTCAAGGAAAACTCTTACTTATATGGAAGGAGACAACATGATGTGGGATGTTACTGGAGATGAATTTGAATCTCTTGAGGATATGGGAATATTATAAATTGCTAATCTTTCACTTGATAAGCCTGAATTAGAAACTATGATATTTATTGAAGATGATATAGAAACTCAAAGACAAACCACTGAAGAAGCTAATCATATCATTCCTTCTATCGAATAGTTGAAATTTCATGTGCTGGACAATTTATCTTCTTATTTTTGTTGTTTTACTATACATTTAAATATTTAATGCTTACTTTTATTTCAATTTTTTTTTTCATTTCAAATATTACATTTTGATTACTTTCTTAATTTTTATGTATTATTTATATATTATAATGTCGTATCCGTGCCGTATCTGTATCCTGTAATTTT